TTAATTAAGCATGTTTAAGGCTCAGGATTGGCTTTTGTCCACTCTTGAAATTGAGATATAATTCACATACCATAAATTTTACTCTTTTAATGTGTATAATTTGGTAGTTTTTAGTATATCCATGAAGTTGGGCAACCATCTATCTAATCCCAGAATATTTTCATCACCTCAAAAAGAAACCCTGTATCCATAAGCAGTGACGCCATTTCCTCCCCTTCCCTGACGTCTTTGGCAACCACTAATTTAATTTCTGTCTGTGGATTTGCCTCTTCTGGACATTTCATATGGATGGAATCATACAAAGTGTGGTTTCTTCTGTCTGGCTTCTTTCACTTAGCATAATGTTTTTAAGGTTCATCTATGTCGTAACATATGCTGATATTTCATTCCTTTTATGACTGAATAATATTCCAGTGTGTGGACAGGGCACATTTTATTTATCCACCCATCAGTTGGTGACATTGGAGTTGTTCCAATTTTTGGCTATTATGTGCAGTGCTGCTATGAACGTTCGTGTACTAGTGTTTGTGTGGAATAGGTTTTCAGCTTTCCTGGGTATACCTAGGGGCGGAATTACTGCGTCAGATGATGACTCTATGTTTAACTCTTTGGAGAACAGCCAAACTTTTTCCTAACAATTTACTTTTGAATACAGCTTTGGTCATATCACACAAGTTTTGATATGTAATGTTTTCATTTTTGTTGAAATATAATGAGTATATATATTTTTATATTGTCTATAATCGAATCATGTTTTTTAGGGACTTTCATCTCAAATTTTCATGCTTTGAACTCAAATTTTATTTTCTGTAACAATTTTCAGATGTATTTGTGTCCTGTGAATAGTTTTCCGGTATATTCTTTTCTTTGAATATTTAGCTTAATGCTGTGTTTCCTTTGTTATGAAGGAACGTTTTTCATAGTTAACAAAAAAAGCTTGAAAACTCATCTTTCCTCGAGAGATTGTGTGTATTTTTTTTAGTTCCCTTCATATTTCATAGACAGCGGATTCACGGGTGTAGCCCAGTGTCCTGGCAGGCATTCATCTGGTCATGCGGCTCTGCCTGTTTGTGATAAAATTATCTCTAGCCCTTACCACATTAGAACTCTGGTTTTTTAAGAGATTATGATGCAATGTAAAGTTTTCATGTATCATATATAAATAACTGAAAAAAGACATGTCCAGACTATACAAAGAACTCCCACAGCTCAATAATAAAAACAAAGCAATCCAATTTTTATAAATGCAAAAGACTTGAACAGATACTTCATAAAGGAAGATATTCAATGGCCAATGACACATAAAAAGTGTTCAACATCATTAATCATCAAGAAATGGAAATTAAAACTCCAGGCAGGGTTTGATGGCTCATGCCTATAATACCAGCACTTTGGGAGGCCGAGGCAGGAGAATCACTTGAGACCAGGCATTCAAGACCAGCCTGGGCAACATAGCAAGACCTTGTCCCTACAAAAATTTTTTAATTAGCTAGGCTTGGTG